GGAACGTAAGGAAAAAATAATAAACCAACCAATCAATCCCATATTCCCCTAAAAAAATCTACCGCGGTCATTCAGAACAGAACTTTGACCAATATAGTAAACAGATTGAATGAAAGTCTATATATTAAATAACCGTGCACATCAGGGAATGTGCATCAACTTAATTTGTGCATTATCTTAATGAATGACCCTAAAATAGAATTGTATGGAAGATTTACGGGGATAAGAGAATTCGAGGCCACTGTTCCGATTATATATATTAATACTAAAATGCAAGACTTCAGACTCAAATAAGTACCTGGTTTTGATGAATGGTTGGAAGCATCTGTATCTTTCTTTTCTACAGTAGTCTCCTCCTTGGACAAATTAAGAAATTCAAGACAAAAAAATCCATATTCAACCATTTTTTCTTTTTCAAAGGCTTGAGAGAATTTATTTTGCGTAAGAAAACCATCGCCGAGATCCATCATTATAAATGCCGAAAATGCATCTTCTAGCACGGTATAAATTCACACGCGAAATCACGTGAATTTTCGAAGACTTATTATGGATTGAGGTCTGATATAGGTTTTTATATTAGGTGCAAATAAAAAAAAAAGTACTTTTCAATAACATATTCACATCTTAAAGACGTAGCTATTTTCAAAATAATAAGTTACAACATGTTTTTTCATTATATCTTTAATAAACGTAAAACAAAATTAGTTACTTAAGGAAGTAGCTTAAAAAAATATAATGTCTGTACGTTTGTGTACGTTTGTGTCCGTTTTTATCCATTCTTTATTTCATTATCACATATGTATTGTATTGTGAACACTATATAAATAACACATAGCTGAGAGGGTGATAGAGCAGATTGTTACCCCGAGAAAACATTGTCAGCTGAGGCGAAGCCAAGGTTGACAATGTCTTTTCTAGGGGTAACAATCTGCTCTATCACCCTCTCAGATATGTGTTATTTAATTTATTATACTGAATGTCCTGTTATTACTGTCGATTAAATTTCAAATTAAAAGTAATAAACTTAGACGTCTTGTACATAACAACCATCCGTATTTAATAAAGCGCACACTTGATCAAGCGTCTCCGTGAAGGGTAATAGAGTATTTGCCACAGGATAGAGTCGTATTTAATAAAGCGCACACTTGATCAAGCGTCTCCGTAAAGGGTAATAGAGTAAATTAACACCCTCGTGTAAGCCAATCAAAATATTGCATTTTTCCGTGAAGTATTATAATTTTAATTGCCATATACAGAAAGCACTGACAAATCAATTATAATAAAAATTATAGACTCGTCCACAAAAGGGACAAAAGGTGTTTATATTTATTAACAAATATGTTATTTTGGGATTTTTTAAAATGGTTTGTAAGTTAGTAAAAGTTCAATTATAAGTTAATATTGAAATCAAAAGACCTACGAACAAAAAGGGGTATTAAAATCACCTCGCCCTTCGGGCTCGTGGATCTTAACACCCCTTTTTGTTCGTATGTCTTTTAATTTCAGTATTAATTAAATTTGAAATTTTACTATTACAAAATGGAACTCGTCGCGTTGCTCATGGTAAGTATAGATTCGTCTCATTTGATGATGTCACGTTTAATGAAATTTAGACGGGATATTGGTGATGCCAATAGGAATATATCAGTGGTCATCGGTAAACAAAGGCCGGTACATCAATTAGAGTTGATTTTATAAATCGTAAGCAAACTTTTATTAATATATTGGTAATTTTGGAAAAGAAGTGCCAAATTCATACATTAACCCTTCAGACCTCTCAGTTCTGCATACGATGAAATATACTGATATCTTTTTGTTATATCAAAAAACACCTTGCAGTATCTATAATTTTAGCACAAAATAACATGCGGTGTCCATTGCTTTGGAAGAAAGTTCCATGATACATCTGGAACTCTCAGAACTGTTTATGAAAGTCAATGACGTTTTTCAGGAGAGAAACAAATTTAAGGTTTTTATTGAATTTAACAGGCGTATAATTGTCTTGTATAAGTTGTGGTACGGAAATGATACACGAGAAAAACAGTCACTTGTTGCGGAAATGTTATCATAAGTATATATTGTGAAAGGAAAACACTACAATTCTTTCCAGTACTGACAGAAGCTCTGACATTGTAACTTAATCGTCAGGAAATAATTGTTTAAAATTAATTCAACAATACACTGACAGTCATTCCAGGGGAAAACTATGGATAACAAAATTGTTTCTTTACTTAAGGGAGGTTTTCTATACATGCATCTAGGCTAACGACAAATCTAAAAGATGATGTCATATAATTCAAAGTTTGGTTATTATGGTAAACGCATTTGTATCATCAATCTTGAAATAACGGATATCATACATCCAGTTACGTGTTCTCCATATCTTGACCTACAGCCAGAAATTAACAGTAACAGTTTGTTGTGAACTGTAACGTACGTCAAAATAGTTCGATTCCAGCTTTCTGGTGCATAAGTAAGAAAACTCATAAAGAGCTTCGTGATTCAAAAAGAATTTGAAATAATAGCCATGTCCATTTAATCTCAACTTTGCATGAGGAAGTTGGAACCTTAATTTTTTTAATAATTTGTATAGTTTCAATGGAAACTTCAAAACTCAAAGATATATTATAACATCTGAGGACTTGCCTTGTTTGCATTGGATACCTAAGCTTCACAAAATTCCGTACAAACAACGGTACATTGCCGGCTCATCTGCATTTTCTACAAAGGAATTGTCCATTAGATTGACACACATTATGTCCGCAGTGAAAAAGGATTTTTAGAAATACTATGAAACTGTTTACTCGCGTAGTGGTATTAACCATATGTCGATTCTAAAAAAACTCTAAAAAACTTCTGGATAATTTTTAATCTCGATCTTTCTCTGAAATTAATTCTATCAAAACTTTTGATTTTTCAACCCTGTATACCACCATTCCCCATGTGAAATTGAAAAATCGTCTATTAGAAAAAAGCCACAATGCTTTTCAATATAAAAATGGTAGCACACGCTATAAATTTATTACTTTGGGATACCATACGGCATATTTTGTTAATAGTGAACAAAAAGGTAAAACATGCTACACAGAGGAACAAGTGATCAGTATGCTAGAGTTTCTTATTGACAACATATTTGTTGAACTTGGAGGTAATCTTTTTCAACAAATTGTCGGTATTCCTATGGGAACGAACTGTGCGGCACTTTTTGCCGACCTCTTCTTATTTTCATATAAGATTCAATTTCTGGTAATATCCTTTTGGCGTGGCTCGGTACTAATGCATCCTGCCAATGTGTTGGTGTGCTGTGGTCATTTTTTATTATTGTCTTTCAATTTTGCTTATGTGCTATGTCTATATGCCATTTTGATTTTCTTTGATGACATATTTGTTTGTTTTAATAGTGATTAAGATTATAACACAATGTTGACTGCTGTACCCCTTATTTTGACATTTTTACCTATTATGTCTATTTGTTTTGTTCACACATTGTTGTCAATATAATGGAACTTTATGCAACTGTCATACAAGTGAGAGGTTGAGCTAGCTATAAAACCAGGTTTAAATCACCATTTTCTACATAAGGAAATGCCTGTACCAAGTCAGGAATATGACAGTTGTTTTCCATTCGTTTGATGTGTTTGAGCTTTTGATTTCGCCATTTTATAAGGAACTTCCCGATTTGAATTTTCCTTAAAAAGAGTTCGGTATTTTTGTTATTTTTGTTTTTGTTTTTTATACGTCATGCAAGTATAGAAGCTCTGACTTCTGAGATGATGATACCCTCATCGAGCAAAAGCCCAGCAGCAGCGATATCGACCTAGTGCTGGAAATTGAAAATAACATTTTATAAATTGAATGCGTTCAAAGCGCGTTTCTGAATTTACTTTGATCAGGAACCCTATTACCCAAATTAAAAGCCAAGGATGTATAAGTACAAACAATGTAACATGGTAACGTATAAAAACTACCATATTAAATAAAAGAGTTCAAAGTACTCATTTTTTTAAATTGAATCATGTCGTCCTTTGGAAGTGATGCCATCTTAATTGTATGTAAAAGCCCGACATTTTGGAAGCCAAATATGTTGTTCAAGCAGACAAAGCCTTTAACAACATTTCTTTTGATATGCCCAAGATAGGCAAATATACCCTAAGGATATTAAAACTCAAAGATCGAGGACAAACTGACAACGACAGGGTTGAGATAAATAAAAACTACCAAAAGACAAGCAAACGTTTTAGAATATAACATATAAAACTAAAGACTGAGCAACACGATCCCCACCATAAAAAACCTGGATTGATCTAATGTGCTTTTGAAGGGTATGCAGATCCTGCTCCACTGAAAAGTGACACCTGACGTGTTGCCTAATATATAAGTACAAATTTGGCGATATGCTAATTCGGTAGCACCTCATTGACGGAAAAGAGGACGGGATTGTGGTTACAACAATTGGAACATATATCCATCGTCATCATTGGAATAGATACTCCATCAATGTCAACCATCTCGTGAAACGTCAGTAAAATTTTCGAAGGGATGACGCAACACCATCACATGGAACCCTTAGTTAAATAGTCTCTATGTCAGCAGCAATCCTAAATTACGTGAATTTTTATAACAAAAGATAGAAATGCTACTTAAAACTTATCACGATGTCGTTATCATATGAAAGGAAAGATTTCCGTACAGGCATAACACATTTTTATTAATTTTCGAACACAAGATCCACAAGATTTAGTTGTTGTTTACCAAAATCAAATTAAAAGGTAAAATCACAACAACAAAAAAAGAAAGAAAGTTAAAATCAAAAATTGGCAGCTACACTGCATATCCTCATTGCATAATAATTTCAAAAGCGTGCACTCGTGTGTATTAGACGTGCTTTACGTATTCTTTGTTTGAAATTTTTACAACTTCCTTATCCGAATCAATAGATATGAGTCAATATATATACTATATGTATAATAAGTTCAAATTGTATTAAGCATTGTTTGCATTTGATCTTGTGTGAAAAATAGTCAACTTAGTCGTCTAATACACAAAATAGATATCATCTTACTTAAATTATAATTAATTTGAATTTTTACAGATTTGAAGTTTTAAATGAGACACTGGTAAGTATGATTTACGAAATATTTATTTTTTTTTTTGGGGTTTTTAAAGTGATACAGTTATTACTGAACCCAATTTATGAAGTATGACACTGTATTTTCGAAATATTAAAATATGTGTTATAGGAAATACTGTAACATTGCTTAACATATATATACCTACAAGTGCATTGTGCTTACAATTTTCCGCCCTCCCCCTTTTATCCAAAAATACTGAAGTTAATTAACGACTGATAAGAAATTTCGTATTTCACAGCAAGTAATTGTATACAACTGTTTTGCATTTTCCTTATTGCTTGATCTACTTTAGATTGAAAGAAAATTGATTATATCTTTTCTCTCAAGATTATATTTCTTCATCCTGTTGTAAAAGGTTTGGTGGCTTTGCCTCTATAATGCAGTTGAATGAATCCTGCGATCTTGATCCTGTTTATCATGTAAACACACCGAACAAATATTGACTTGAAAAATATGTGTACATGATATTGATAGGTCTAAGAAGGGGAAATGATACATACATCAACACAACTTGAAATCTATTACAAGCAGTGACAAACAGAATAGGAAAATAAAACGACAAAAAGCAATGAAACTATGAACACGAACAGAACTAGGCAATGTCATGTACGTAGACAGAAATAACTTTCTTTTTTCAAAACAAATATTTATTTCCATATCATCTGTTGTCTATGTTGTGCTCTGAACTTTAAATTTGATTCTAGGTTGATAAGATGGGCATTAAATTCGAAATCCTTAATTTGAATTGACAAAGTAGAATTCAGTTAGTTCATTTGAAATATATTAACAAACAAAGAATTATTTTACGTGTTAATGTTGTTCATAGCTTGTAGCCTTTTCATTATCATTTTTACGGTGTAAAGATCTTTACCAAAGCTCATTTTATATGAACTGGGAAAACAACAACTATTTGACCGCGGTGTTTTCCCAACTATTGCACTATTACGATTTTATAATTATACTTTGCGGGGAAGTTTAATACATACATTTTATTAAGTTTGATATATTATTCATAGAATGTGTTTTGGTTTTTCATTAGTGTTTACTCATGGTGTTGTCAATTACTAAGATTTTTCAAGGTTCCTGAGTTATCTTCATCCTCTTTTACATCATAAATGTTCAGTAGCTTTTACTTACGATGTTACTGTACGAAAATAATAACACATTGAACTGACTGAAAAACTTTTTAACTGTACTGGATTGACTGCAAATAAAATATCTGACCATAATTGAAAAAAATGAAAGCAACGCTTTAAAAATTTTACTTCGGTGTTATCATGTATATCTATTATATAGTCATTTTTATAAATTTACTGTTTGCTAAAGTATGAATTATTCTAAATACTAAGGATGTTCTTATCCCAGACACATAACCTTAGCCGTATTTGGCACAACATTTTTGAACTTTTGGTCCTCAATGCTCTTCAACTTTGTACTTGTTTTGGCTTTCGAACGTTTTTGATCTGAGCGTCACTGGTTAGTCTTGTGTGGACGAAACGCGCGTCTTGCGTATGAAATTTTAAACCTGGTACCTTTTGTAAGCTATTATTCGTATGTTTCTCTGTCCTATATGTTCTCCCATTTATTTGTATTGTAGTCCTGTCATGTAATGTTGTCATTTTAATGTTATATTTAACATTGCCATAAAAGCAGGAGGTTTGGCTAGCCACAAAACCAGGTTCAACGCACCATTTTTTTCTTAAAATGTCCTCTACCAAGTCAGGACAATGGCCATTGTTATATTATAGTTCGTTTATGTGTGTGTTACATTTTAATGTTGTGTTTCTGTTGTGTCGTAGTTCTCCTCTTATATTTGATGTCAGTTTTAGGTTGTTACCCAGATTTGTTTTTTTCTCAATCGATTTATGAATTTCGAACAGCGGTATACTACTGTTGCCTTTATTTATGCGTTCGAAGCACTTTTCTGATTAACCTGCTGGAATGTTGCTACATAGAAATTGAAAGTTCACAATTAGGAAGCTGAAATCATCTCTTTTGTCGTAAAGTTTTGTTTTCAATCGACCCTCATTGTCAATTTATAGATGTAAGGCTAGATATGAGGCAGACTTAACTGTATCTTTTGTATCCTTTATCTCAAGTTCGATGGGATAGATGCATTTAACATAGTCACCAAATTTTGAAATATTTAGTGAGAGAACATCATCTATAAAGCGTAAAGTAAAGTTAAATGATACTGCTAACTTCTTTTCTTTCTTTCTAAGAAGTTCCTGTATGAAGTCAGCCTCGTGTGAATAAAGGAACAAGTCGACAAGAAGAGGGGCACGTGTTGTTCCCATGGGAATGCCGATTCTTTGTTGAAATATACGTCTTCTAAACGTAACAAATATGTTGTCAATCAAGAAATCATGCATCTTGTAAGGTTTGTCTGTAATGTTTTTGCACTGATAAATGTATATTGTCTTACCCTAAGAAATAATCAAGTTTAAAAGTAATCGGTACATGTAGATGTAAATTTTAAATAATCATTTTCACTACTTTTTGAAAATTTGAAATAAAAGCAGAATATTTGAAGCAATATATATAACCTGCTGGAATTCACATTCAAAGCATTGGAAAATGTTCATATTAGTTATTGTTACAGATGGTGTGCTTCATAACAATTTTGAAATGGAAGTTATCAACAAAAAACTTAACCAGCTGAAAATTGGACAAAAAGCATCGGCACTATCGAAACCTGATTATGAACATCATCTTTCAAATCAAGAGCAAGGTAAATATCATTTTTTATCATTTCGTAAAACGAGATTGACAATGTGTCTTGTTTCAAATTACTAGAGAAAAATTGTAAATTCAGTCAACTTTGATTTGAGGAATTGACCTTTCCTGTTAATATTCTTAAACTTTCATTGATATATCAAATTTTGATTATACAAATGACTAAATTAGATTAAACAATGATTAATACACAGTTCATAAATTTGTGCACACATATCATTGCAATGACATTACAAGCAGGGAAAGGGGATAAAGTTTGATATTCAGCTTTTATTTAAATTTTGAGATATGTTATAGACCGAGATAAGATTGAATGTACCTTTTTTGGTTGTTGGGAAAAATAAGACCTTCAAATGGAAACTTTTGTACTTTTGTCGAATTATTCTGACAACTATAAAATCCCAATATGAAAATAAGATGAGGTTTGATTGCTAGTGACTATTTGTCATAGACGTTAGCAACTAAATAAGTGCAGTACTTTAACATTGAGCAAAAACACATACCGTATTGTAAATGATAAAAGATCACATCATGACAAAATCTAAGTTAATTCAAAAGAGAAAACCCTCGGCTGGTTAATGGTAAGTGAAACGACAAATAGGTCATGATGTATAAATCATACACCTTCTGTTTATTTTGTTCACACATTGTTTTCAATATAATGGAATTTATGCGAGTGTCATACAAGTCAAAGGTTTAGCTAGCTATAAAACCAAGTATAATCCACTATTTTCTACATAAGGAAATGCCTGTACCAAGTCAGGAATATGACAGTTGTTTTCCATTCGTTTGATGTGTTCGAGCTTTTGATTTTGCCATTTGATAAGGGACTTTCCGATTTGAATTTTCCATTGAGTTCGATATTTTTGTTAATTTACTTTTTATTGATTCTTAATGAGGTTGACATGGTTGAGATGTGATATTCACTGATTCAAACTACCGAAATGAATATCAAGAGTGTTGGAAAATAAATCATTGCCTTAGCAGATATAATATAATTAACAAATGCTTTATTATATGATTTTTTGGTCCATCTCCGATCTTTTAGAATTTTGGTAAAAAATGATAATAACATTTTATAGATTTCTTTCGTCCGAGGCTCTTTTCGCCGTCATTATGAAAACTAAATATTCGTGCAACATATCTGACTGCTCTTTGTTTTTTACTATAAATACATGTTCTGTTTTGCCATTCTTCTAACTTTATTGTATCGGTTTTTATTCCTGGGAAATGAATACTACCATGTTATTATGTGTTTAGTTGTATTTTTATTTGTTTGTGTATGGTTTGTTTTTACTTGCCTGAAATTATTAACTCTTTTCTTTATTTTCAGGCGATTGATTAATATTTATTCGATCATCCAATAAAACACTATGTAAACACCAGAAACAATCGCTATTACTTTATTTAGGTACATGTTAACTGATTCAAATTTTATATAAAACCCTCGTGATCATAATGTTTAAAAAAAATTGTACTACAGTGTAGTATCTACCAGAAACTATTGTACGACGATGGCGGTGCATTAAGGAAATACTGATGCAATGTTGATGAGGGACATACTTTGGAAGCAGATAAAGTTATTAAAGAGAGGCAAAAGATACCCGTGACCTCCTTTTATGTTATACTTTTCGTTTGTTACTGCTTCAAAACATATATTTTATTGAGATTATATTGCATAAAATAGTCCATAGAATATTCTTAACTTGAGTATCACTACAAAAAGGAACATGCATACTGTATATGCATCTCATCATTTACACTAATACTTGGTTTTAATGGAAGTTTCAATGAATATTACATCCATGTGGCTTTTTGCAATTTCTTTATTTATATTTTGATGCAACTAATTTTTGGCTTCGAATTTTGTAACGACTACTATATCAAAGGGACAATGCATATGTTGCCCAAAACTATTATACCACTTATCTCTTTTAATTGAAACAATAGGGTTGCACACATCACTATCATGGTGCTTATCAATTTAAATGCATCTAACTTTTTTTTTCTAAGATTTAATCTCTTAGTATGTTTCACGATCTTACAGAACCAGTACCGTACTCTCAAGCACAGATACCAGTTAAATCGCCTCTCATGTTTGATGTTCATTTAAGACACAAGTTCAAAATTGGAAGTTTACTAAATGAATATTATTGTGTTTTAATGAATAAGCTGTTGGTGTTTACCGATGGTGACAATGACAGATTACTAATCTTCAATAGAGATGGAAGTTACAACCGAGAGATTGAACTGTATGGCACACCGTGGTATATATCAGTGATAAATGACAGCGATATCGCTGTCTTATACAATACTACTAAATATATTATAGATATAATAAGTATAAAAACTGGAACATTATCACATAGTGTCAAAGCAAGAGGTCACATCAGGGTGATATCATTTGAAAACGGACTATTGTTTGTTGTTACTGGGAACATGATCGATGTTATGAATATCACAGGTGAACCTATCCGATCATTTCCCGTTCCTCCTTCACATGTCTTACAAAAACCAAATGTTAAAAGCAAAACATTCCTCCCATGCCCAACTCCTTCCTCGTTTGGATGGAACATAGCAAACCATAAAAACAGGCTATTTCTTACTAACGCCTTCAATAATACTTTATGCTGCTGTGACCTGTTTGGATCAGTCATTTGGATTTTTAATGATGATACGATGAAATATCCGTTCGGAATTACAACAGATGGCAATGGTAATGTGTATTTGACGTGTAATGACTCTAGCAATGTTATCGCTATATCGTCTGATGGCAAACATCATAAAGAAATACTTAACGAGGACGATGGATTGAGGAGGCCGTCAGGAATTTGTTATGACAAATTAAATGACCGTCTGTTAGTGTGTGACGAAGGGAATGGTCAGGCATTTTTGTACGATATTAAACATTCAACTTAAATCATATAAACTTTGATTGATCGAAGATTCAGCATGTATTTAAACATGGTTCCCGATTTCGATTAAATCACCCATAACTTGTTTTTGTATTTTCATATTAATCTGTTATATTTGATATATTTATTCTCACAAAAAATCAACAAAGACTCAACATAACACCTTTAACTATTTGTGATAACATGAATGAATTATAACCATTTATCCTAATTCCCATGGATATATTTCATGTGGAGCAGGATCTGCTTACCTTTCCGGAGCACCTGAGATCACCCCCAGTTTTTGGTGGGGTTCGTGTTGCTTAGTCTTTGGTTATCTATGTTGTGTCATCTGTACTATTATTTGTTTGTTTGTCTTTTAATTTTGGCCATGGCGTTGTCAGTTTGTTTTCGATCTATGAGTTTGACTGTCCCTCTGGTATCTTTCGTCCCTCTTTTTCAGGTTAAATACCTCGCACAATAGACATAATACACTGCAGTTGTAAAGAAAGGATTCTCTAATTCTTCGTCAATTTATCCCTTTCTGCACCCATTGTATAAAAAAAATTTAATCAACGTGTGGTTCGTTTGATCTCAGTTCTTCATTGGTTAAAATCCGATTATGACGTCGAATTTTCTTGCTTTCCTCTGAATTTCCTATTGTGACGGCATGAAAAAAGGCGACCATGCCTGATGACGTCACATAGAAAGAACACATCTTTTTGCAGATCATTCGAAAAGAAGGAATAAATTTGCCTGCGTGTTGTTTGAAAATCATTAGAGAAACAGATTCCACCACCAAATCTCGTGAAATACGATATTTATCCACTCTCGACAGTTAAATTTTAAATATTTAAAACGCTCGGCGAGCCTCGCGTTTTAAATTTGAAAATTTAACTGTCTCGAGTGGATAAATATTGTATCACACTCGATGCAGTGGTAGAATCTATATTTATATGCTCATGGTCTGAAGCATAAACAATATCAAAATTTAAATTACATATACTACATAATAAAACAGACGAAAAATATGTCTAGACATTATATATACTATAAAGTACTGGAAATGAAAATACAATGTTTAATACATTTGACCTTACAAATTAAACAACATTGATCAAAAGATTTGAATGTATCATAATCATACTTGGGATCTATGTAACACCTACATATTTACTATGAAATGAACAATAGAGGGATCATTGGTGATTGAAATTCACCAGATTCATTTGACTTCATATTATACCTGTCCAACTAATTAGTTTAATCTCTTGTTTCTGGATTAACACAATCATAACATTATATAAATAACACATAGCTGAGAGGGTGATAGAGCGGATTGTTACCCCGAGAAAACATTGTCAACTGAGGCGAAACCAAGGTTGACAATGTCTTTTTGAGGGGTAACAATCTGCTCTATCACCCTCTCAGATATGTGTTATTTAATTTATTATATTGAATGTTCTGTTATTACTGTCGATTAAATTTCAAATTCAAAGTAATAAACCATGACGTCTTGTACATAACAACCATCCGTATTGAATAAAGCACACACTTGATCAAGCGTCTCCGTGAAGGGTAATAGAGTATTTGCCATATGATAGAGTCGTATTTAATAAGGCGCACACTTGATCAAGCGTCTCCGTGAAGGGTTATAGAGTATTTGCCATAGGATACAGTCGTATTTAATAAAGCGCACACTTGATCAAGCGTCTCCGTGAAGGGTTATAGAGTATTTGTCATAGGATAGAGTCGTATTTAATAAAGCGCACACTTGATCAAGCGTCTCATTGAAGGGTAATAGAGTATTTACCATAGAACAGAGTAAATTAACACCCTCGTATAAGCCAATCAAAATATTGCATTTTTACGGGAAGTATAATAAAACTATTTATCATTCAAATACTAATGTTTATTATCTATAACTAATAGTTAAGAGAGAAGCGAAAGATACCAAAGGACATTCAAACTCATAAGTAGAAAATAAACTGTCAACGCCATGGCAAAACAAAAAAAGAAAAAGACCAGAAGGCAAAGAACTGTACATAAAACACAACATAGAGAACTAAAGACTGTGCCACAAGATCCGCTCCAAAAAACCAGGGTGATCTCAGGAACATTTGGAACATATCCGTCGTCATCTGTGAAACAGATATTCCAAAATGGTCAACCAACTCGTGGTTGCGTCCGTAACATAAACGAAAGGAATATTAAGTATGTTTTAAACAACCTGTGATAAACAAGACATAATGGAATGTTTAAAAAGAGAGTCGTAAAATACTAAAAGGGTATTTAAACTCATTATATTTTAGTCGAAGTCAAACTGACAACGCCATGGCAGAAAAGCCAAAAAACGACAATAAGACAAACAACTGTCTTTAAAACACAACATAGAAAACTAAAGACTGAGTTACATAAACCCCTTAACAAAAGCGGGTTGATCTAAGGTTACCCGGGAAGGCGAGCCGATCCTCCTCCGCATGTGGCACTGTCGTTAATGTGATTATGGAGAATATAATTTAAGTAATGAAGGGATTTTAGAAAGGGATAAATAGCTTATAATTTAATCAAAATAACTCATGCCTTATAATCAACATGTTTTATCAATATATTCATGATTATTTTTTAAAAAAGAGGCAGAAGATACCAAGGGGACATTTAAACCTCATAAGTCAAAGAAAAAACCAACAAACTCATGTCAAAAAAAAAGAGAAAAACAAAAAGAACAAAGAAACGAGTCAACAAAACACTACATAAAGAATAAAGTCTGCAAAAGGTCTCGAAGGGAAAACAGTTCCTGCTTCACATTTGGCACTCGTCGTGCCTAAGCAAGTACAAATCCGTCGATTAAATCATCAGTTTTCTAAAGTGCATAGATTATAACATTCAACCGCGACTGCTGACAAAAAATACTAGTAATATAATCATTGTAATTCGTTACAATATTAACATTTAAACTGCGTTGTTGTCTCGTCGATTGTCTTTAGTAGACGTCATCTTTTTATTTCAAAAATATATTACATAAAAGAGTTTCAATGACGCTCGCGTTGCACATTTTTTTTATCTATCCAAGGGCAAAAACAAAAAAAAAATATTTGTTTGTTCTTAAAGAAATGAATTACTACCACTAGTCTCTGAAGGTATCACCAGTCCATGCCTGTAGTGTTTAATTGAAATTTTAAGTTGTAAGATTTCGGAAACTATTTTAAACCAAACAATATATCTCCCTCATGCAACGCTTTGATTCCTTGTCCTTTTTTGTTTCATCAGCTCTTCAATGTTGTATTGGCTTTGTATATCCTTTGGCTTCGAGCATCACTGAAATTCCATTGATTTTGTCGAAATGTGCACCTGGTTCAGTAAAACTGGTACCGTTACTGTTATAACTACCACTTGGTTGATACCTCCGCTGGTTGACTTGTAAGTCCCCAAGCCCAGTAGCCAATTCTTCGTAACTTGCATGAAAATACGGATATTATTTGATTGAAATTTGCTGTTACAAAATTTTGGAAATTATTTTAATGAAGAATAATATCTCCCTCATGCAAAGGTCTGATTCCATTTCAGGCTATGGCATAACTGGCGCAGTTAAAATTGTATCGTTTATGTAAATACTATCACTGGGTCGATACCTTTGCTGGTTGACTGTAAGTCCCTGAGACTATCACCAACCCAGTAGCCAATACTTAGGTACTGGCATGAAAATACGGACATATAAACAATTGTCTTACAAGTGGAAGGTTTAGCAATCTATAAAACCAGGTTTAACCTACTATTTTCTTCATAAAATGTCTGTAATAAGTCAGAAATATGGCAGTTGTTTTTCACTTGTTCCGTTGATTAATAGCGTTCGATTTTGTCAGTTTTTATGGAATTCCCCGATTTTAGAATTTGTCTTGGAATTCGGTATTTTTATTAGACTTTTTGAGGCCCTGTTTGTTTTGATTAGCTTATTAACGTTTGTATTAGATTTTGGCTTTATACATATTTTGACCACGAGCATCACTGAATGGATATACATTGTCGAACTGCTTAACTGGTGTAGTAAAATTGGTTCCATTTATGTAATTACTACCAGTGGGTCGATACCTGTGCTTGTGGACTGTTAGTCCTTGAGATTATCACCATCCCAGTACCCAATACTTAGATACTGGCATGAAAATACGGACATTTATCCATTGAAATTTGCTGCTATAAATTTTGGAATCAGTTTTAATTTAGAATTATTTCGCCTTTATGCAAAGATAATATTTTTTTTCCAAATTTGGCTAAACTTTAGGTACTACTTTGGTTTGATCAGCCCTTTAACGTTTGTATTAGATATTGACTCGATAAATATCTTGAAATCGAGCATCAATGGAGAGACATTAATTGTCGAAACGCGCGTCTGGTGAAGTAAACATTGGTACCGTTTATTTCATTCCAGTATGTGTCTCCCATATTTGGGTTGGGGTTTAATTTATTAACTGTATAACTACAATGTTTGACAACTTCTAAAGAAATGAAAGTATTAGTAGCAATACTATAATACAAACTTTCTTGCATTTACATATACGTCGGAAGAAAAGAAAAATGTACAAAAAATGGATATTTCGTTCTCAGAGCTGAAGATATTTTTTTCTTTGTTTATATAATATACCGTAAAATAAGTTACCGTTTTAACTTGTGCTATTTTTTCTCTTATGTTTGAGACCTATTATCTATTTCTCGCATGAAGATACTGTACGGAGTGTGATACGAAAAATGCGTTAATTTAATTGGCTTATCCAGCATCATGAAATAATATTGCAACATGTCTATCGGCTATTCGTTAGGTCATTGATGATTTCCAAAGATCAAAACGATGTGCATTTCCTCCATAGCAACGGAAGTATATGATTTCTTCATTAATATACAAAACAATCGCACTTATCACCTGAGAATCTTTTTTTTTATCAAATTATAAATCTGTCCATTCTGAAACGTACAAAATGTTTTAAAATGTCTGCTGTTAAAGTTTGACGTTGGAACATGACATACATGTATGACGACATACTGGTATGTGCATAAGACAAGACCAAGGAGTCACGGACTTTTTCTATTTCCTTACCACAAAGAGAAGGTTTA